CAGCCCCCCCCCCCCCAGTTCAAAATGAACTTCTCTTTGATATAGAATTCAAATAACTCTATAAACAGAAATTTCTACACCTATGCTGTGGTCCTTTTGTACATTTAGGAGGAAGGCAAATGGCCACTTGTGGATATATTGCCGAGTGGAATTATGAGTCCAGTAAAACCTTTGATTATGTAGGCAAAAGCTAATAAATTTCATCAAACCTATCAACGGTCTACTAAATACTTCACAGCACTGTGCCATGAGCAGATTCTGTACCTGACATCACCAATACCTTAAGTACCGAGGAGTTGAGTATTCCTTGGGAAGTCCTTGACGGAAGTGTACTGCAGAAAAAAAGTTATGCCAAAAGCTTGGTTGGGATTACTTCCTGGGTTTGGCTTTCTTCTTTCTGGCAATCCCCAGAGCATGCTCCAACATGGCAGAAATTTGGCAGGGCCTTAAAATCTCCTCAAAACACATAAATGATATTTTAAGTAGCAACAATCATGTTGTCATTGGTAAATGAATCTCAAATAGGGAGTATACACAGGTTTAAGAAAAAATTAAAGGCAGGGAAACCGTTTTAAAATTTCTCTCAATGCTCAGCACTTTTGCCTGTACCATTACTTTTAATCTATCATACCAAAATATTGTCACCAGACCACATACTCATTGTGTTTAAAGGTATTTTCAAGTTTCAATAGAAATTCAGTGTTTTTTATTTTATTTATTTATTTAGTTTTCTAGACAGGGTTTCACTTATGCAGCCCTTGCTGGTCTGGAATTGGCTATGCGAACAGGGCTGGCCTCCATCTCATGGAGACCTGGCTGCCTCTGCCTCCCAAAAGCTGGGATTAAAGGCATGCCACACTATGAAATTTAGAATTTGAGATTCTCTTTCCTCCTTATGTTCCCAAGTGATGTGTTTACACTTAAAAATCTCTAATATACAGAATGTGTGAGTACCAGATGTTTTTAATCTACTTAGACATAAACATTTAATTTTCATTCTAAAAATGAATTCTATACTGGTTTATAGACAAACTCAACACTGAATAACACTGAATATGTTAGTTGAAAACTCCTTGAGGAGTTTCCCTATTTACTTTAGGTTATTTCCACAAGCTTGACATACTTACACACCAATCCTCCATTCTAACTTTAGCTATCATTTGATATCAAATCAGTGCATATGCTTGATATCAAAGTTCATGAAAAACATTCGAAATTATAAGGCAAGTCTTAGGTCCCCAGCCCCAGACTGTAGATAATCAGTTGTGGAAAGATGGAAAATGCAAATTTCCAGGCCATATCATCAGAGATTCTGATTTGGTAGTTATGAAGAAAGTTCTTAATCTAACTTCATAAATACTCAATGGCATCTGCTGCAATTTGTCTAGAGAACACTTTGAAAACTGCTTACACAGTCCAAGAAAATTGACTCTCACAATTTCTATACTCCCAAAAAAGCTTTATCAATGCATGTTGTACATGAACAATGCTAATTAGTCAAAATTACTGTGCTTTACAAAACTTTAAGGCCACCAAGAGTAAGAAAGTCTGTTTTATTTTCCAACATTCTAATTCTTCCTTAGATCATCAGGGAGAAATTTTAAAATACACACTAAAATCAACACTCCATCAATACCCACTATCCTGAAGTTGAAGCTTAATAGTAAACAATTCCTAAATTAATTTAATCTTGTGTTGTTCAGAGGAAGTTCAGAGAAGCTGAAGGTCCTCAGAGTTTAGGAAGCCATAGGGTTCCTTGAAAGCCCATTTAAAAAAACAAAACAGAAGACAACTTGTACTAAGACCTCTTCACCTAGAGAACAGGAAACAAGAGATTAAACTATAATGGCAGGTAAATCATTTCCTAGACTTCCGGTGATTCTTGGCAGCAGAAGATTGTGCTTTTGGAAAAGAAAAAAATGTATCAGCCACAAAGTGACTAATCAAGTGACTTAAGAAAACCTAATATTTGTCAAGATGGGCTTGCAGCATCTTGTTGTACCTTTGTTCCCAAAGGACACCTCCAAACACACAGCTTTCTGCCATACTACATCTTTCACTTGGGAGTGAAACTGAGTAACTTTCTAAGTAATAGGTCAAAGATATAAACTGGTATACTTGGACTTGAATGATCTGACTAATACAGTATGAACCCTCCTAGCAAATACCTGAATCAAAACAAGTTACATTTTTCCTGTCTTTTCTAACATAATCTGGTGAATGATGGTGAACTACAGAGTCTAAGCCAAATACACTAGGAAAAACAGCCATGACCGGTTAAGTCAAGAAAACATTTTTTTCCCCAATTATAAAGGATCCATCCAGGCATATGTATACTCCATATTTAATTCAGACAGCACTGTGATTCTTGAACAAACTCATTCCTCTAGTTTTTACTATCTTCATGATACTTATTTTTAATACTGTGCATTAGGAAAAAAAAATCCAATCTGTTAATCTTTTTGGAAGGTTTTCTAAATAAGAAACCTCAAAATAACAAAACCACTCTGCCCAGTAAAGGCAAGCTAGCAAGTCTGCAGAGAGACAGGGAACAATAGGGCAGTGACATAGCCAAAGTCCGTTTGTAAGATTAAAGCAATTCAGAGTCAAATATTCTCTTGTTTCCTCTCTTGACAGGTAGCATTATCTCTAAAAGCAAACTTGCTTTACTTTAAAGCAGCTGTCATAAAAGGAATCTTCTACAGATAAGCGTACCGATTTTAGTAAAATGCCTTGACAGAAAATATGGTTTCTTGCATTTGAAAGAAACAAACAGGTAAAATAAGATAAGACAAGCTGAATTTAATTTCAAACGTTAATATATTTTCTATTTTATATTGAACATATGCATCTGTAACCCCTCATTTGCAGCAACTATCACATCCTCATAAAAGGGGCAAAATTTATAAGATGCCTCTTAAAATAAATATTCTTTTTTATAAAATAATAAAACTTCAAATAAATATTCTTTACACTAAACAATATGTTGAAAAAATTAGAAAATAAAGGTTGGATTTTACTGTAACTGTACAATATACACGAAGTCCAAAGGGAAACCAGAGTCTTACAATAAAGGCTTCCTGTAAGGCAAAATACAATCTAAAAACATACTGATTGATTCACATTCTTCCGAATGTACAACATATTAGTATAATATTTTGTGACTGTGCCATGTAGTATGGCACAACTTGTTTTTCACAGTTGCAAATATTATTGTATATACAAAAATATAGCACATTATCTCTGGAGAAACGATGGGGGAAGAGTCATTTGCTAATTTACAAACTTTGCAAGGACTATTCACCAACAAAAAAACTTTGCCCAGGAGTGTCTGTTGCTTTAGCTTATGCAATATGTAGGTCACCAAGTTCTGTCCCCCTTCCTCTGAGTCCCATTAGATGAATTCTAGCAAGCATATCGGTTAAAATGGCACATGGACCAAGAGAAAAAAAAAGCATCTCACTGCAAACAGCGAATACCCCAACCCTCTATTAACAGTGCCAAGATTACAACTGTTTAGTTGGTTGCATATGCGTGTTAAAAAAAAAAAAAAAAGGAATAATCCTTATTACTGTAATATTCCTGATTAATAATGCTATGTTGGCTTTTCAAAGTTCCTGGGGGGGACAGTGGGAACTTTGCAGCAAACTGTGTTTGAGTTTTTACAACGGCATCCAGGCCTGTTAACCCGATCATAACACCCCTGGCACAATTTAAGGCAACCCTTGGCTGGAAGGTAACACCATAAACAAGGCAAAAAGAGGGACATGACACCCATAGCCGACCATCGAGTACAACAGTGAGACTGGCTGCAAGAACATGGGTTGTCAGCACAATTGTCCTCATCGTCATTAGAGCAGTGATAGAAAAGACCTTTCACACAACATAGGCAAGTGCCATAGTCGATCACGTTCTGGGCAGAGCAAAGGCACTGCTTGTCGCAGATCCAGTCTGATGGCAGGGGCCTTGGGTAGGTGCACTCCTTACACTTGCACTTGCCACAGTCCTCACACCTGTAGGCATGCAAACCCAAATCTTCCTTGCTCAGTGGTTTAAGCTCACCAGGCTTGAGCTCAGATTTAGGCTGCACCCGGATTATCCCATCAGTAACAGGCCCTGGGGAGAAGGATGATCCTAACAGTCTCTGTTCCGAGGAGCTGCTGCTGGTACTGGTCCTTGTACTGCTCCGAGACCCTGAGCTGACGGTGCTGATGGACCTGGACAGTGGGGCCCGTGAAGAATGGACCTGCGTGGGCTGGAGCCTGGGAGGCTGGCGGTGCTCGGGCAGACCGTGGAGTCTTTCATGTTTGTGCTGAGTGGAAGGGCGAGGAGCGGGCTTCAGCCCAGGTCTTGGGACCACAGTAGGCCCCTCTGTGTACTCATTGGTGTTTCGGATGGCTCTGATCTGATCCAGAGACAACACATGTACCTGCTGGGTGAGAGCATCTCTGGGGTCCGGCTCCCCACGCTGCCTGCCACTGTCATGGGGCGCCTGCAGCAAGGGCTGCGACCCGTTGCCACTCTGAGCTCTGGCCTCCATCAGGTCTTGGCAGTGTGTTCACTCCAGCAGGCTTAGAACACATCTGAACTCCTGGGGAAACCAAGAGGAAAGAAAACGGTTTACACTCTAAGACTTCCCACTCTCCACCCACCGGAGTTGACTCTTCACTGCCCACATCCCCTAGAGAAATGGGACTGGAAATGGAGTGACAGTGGTGTGGGAGAACCGTCGAACTATCAAGGCTTGTGCTCAAAAGTAAAAATCATGGCTGGGTACTGACAGTTCTGTAATCTGGTCAAGTGCAGTGACACAACCCTAATCTTAGAATCATTTAACACTCCCTTATTCAAATAAACACGAAATTTGGAAGGCTCAGGTTTGGTGTAAAAGCTGCAAGGAAGTAACACTGGATTCTGTGATATTAGATATCACAGTGCTAGGATATTTTCAGAAGTTAAATATCTTTCAAAATTTGAAGTAGGTTTAAATTCGACACGATCACCTTTTTTTTTTTTTTGTATAAAACACCAATAAATAATACAAGCCTAGAAAATTCTCAGTTCTGTAAGTCTGCTTTTTACCTCACACACCTGCACTGACTTATCTATTCTTTTGTATCTTTTCCAGTTCGGTAGTATGATATGAAAAAAAAGCATTTCTCAAGATCATAAAGTTTTCACTTTTTAGCAAATCATTTCATATCCTATTAGATATCACAAACACGTGAAAGCAAACGCATAGGTCAAGCAACAAGACAAGAACATATTTTCAACCTCAACAACTTGACAAATATTCTACAGACCATAGCCTACGATTCCAGCCTTAGATTCTATCGCTCAAAGGTCGTTCTCCCTGTTTTAGAAATAATGCATGTCAAAAAAAATCTTATTTTCTCTTTTAAAAAAGTTAATAGCTGAGGGCATAAAGCAACTAGCAGTAAAGAGAAGGTTTAGTAACACCAAGTGTCAGGGCTGAAACCCATCATTCTGTCAAGTAATCACTTAAATTACAGTCATTCTTTGGTTTAAAAAGTACCATCCCCTTTCCCCAGCCCACAGGAAAACCGAAAGGAAAATAGGCAAAAGCGGACTTTTTAGCCAATCTCCGCTTTTTGGAAAAAGAGCTACAACGAACAAGGCAGGTGACAAACGCCTCCCGATTCAGAACCAAGCAGAGCTGGAAACCGGATCTGCTCACCTCCAGACACCGCTGCTCTTTGCTTTCACTCAATTAATCTGCTCTATCTGCGGCCCTACACCGTCCCCAGCAGGTGGGGACTCAGCTAGAACCCCAGGGGTCTTTTCTCCAGGCGGACTGACTCGGTCTAGAGGCCAGCTTGGCCACCCTGTGTCCAATGCCCAGACGCAGGGCAGGCTGGGGGCGCAGGCGCCACGGAAGGGGACGTGTCATGAAACGCACGATCACACTTCCCCCGCCTCCACCCCCTCAGCTACAATGCCCCCCCAACTCAGAACTGCCATCCAGCCCAAGAGGGGGAGCCACTCTAATACCCCTACTTCATCAAGGTCACTACAAGGTGCCTCTGCGAAGGCTCTGGAAAGGCCAGTCACCAGAAGTTTCCAAATCCGACAACCGGAGGAAGAAAGCCCAGCCTGGGACGCACAGCCGCGACAGAGGTCTATTAACCCACGCGCACACAGCGACTCCACCGTGCACCGACTCAAGCGTGCACAGCCTGTAATCTGCACACGCTTATCTCCTTTTAGATCAGGAGGAAAAGATCTATTTCTTTAAAAATGAAAGAAAAATAGCTTTATCCGGAGCACACCAGGCGTGCAAGACTTGAATCCCTAGGCTTGGAAACTTTCCGTGCAGACTTGTTTGCAGGGTAAAGTAGCATCTTTGGGGGAAAAAAAAAAGTGATTTCTGCCGATCCCTGGCCGCCTCCTTAGCAGTGCCTCCCCCGCCCCCCCCTGCTCTCCCAATTTCTCTCCCGCCCCCTTTGAGACTGCTTTGAAACCCCCCATTAAGAACTGTGTGTGATCAGACTAAGGATTAGGGGAGAAAGACTTCAGCACTTGGGTGGGGCGAATCGACACAGAAACCCCTTTGTAAAAAACGCGTAAGACTCCAAATCTTAAAAACAGAAACGACACAAAGGGGGGGGGAAGCCTAGCCCTTTTCGCCACCTACTTTCAGGTAATGGAAAACGATCGCGACCACTTGAGGACTTTCTTCCTGTGCTAGTTTTTTTTTAAAAAAAAAAAAAAAAAAAAAAAAAAAAAAAAAAAAAAAAAAAAGCATGACCCAGGCTGACCATGAAGAACGGAAAAAAAGAGAAAGCTGCACTTCCGAACCGCCGAGACCCGGCGCCAGGCTGGGCGACGCTCCCACCCGCACGGGGCTAGACTGTCCACACCGGCAGAGGCGGGACTCCCTCCGTCTGGCACTCTACCCTTGGCTCACCCTCCGGGTCTTCTGCCCCGGAGAGGGGTAGGGGGTGAGGTGAGCGAGATAGCGCCCCAGCCCCGCGACACCCGTCGCAGCGGGACAGGCTCGGCCAGAACTCTGCCTTCCTCGGAGAGGAGGAACAGGTTAGAATGCGATCGCCTGCAAGGCGACCAGGTTACACTTTGTGTCCTCCCTCCCTCCAGGGCTCTCAGCGACCCATTCGCCGCCAATATAGGGCTGGCAGCAGAAGGCAGGCTACCGTCCTCCGCCCCAAACCCCCTAGAGAGCAAGGGGTTTCCATGCTGGGGACACTGCACCCGTGCACACTGCAGCCCGGCGGTGGCCTGAGGTGTCCAGGGAGAGGCAGTTCAGTGGTGCAGCTCCCCGATCCTCCCGGGAGCCTGCGGGGTTGGGGAGAAAGGGACCCAGACCCCACTCGCGGCCGGCTGCACCTACTCCATGTTGCCCACAACGCGCGGCATTAGGAGGGGAAGAGCCAAACGCGCCTCACCGTGATCGCGGCTTTGCACCAACCCCTCTCCCTTGGATTCTCTTCTTTCTGCGATGTGCAAATAAATCCAGCCCCGATGCAAACTTTTCCCCTTCTTTCCAAACTCTGCTTCAGTCCAACTTCCAAGCAATCGATGGAAGGGGGTGGGGGAAGCCGCGGGGAAATTCGGAACCCAGTCCTCCACCGTTGGAACCCTCCTGGAATCGGGGCTAGAGAGGCGACCCCCCTTCCAGAAGCGCATTGTTTGTTCTTTTTTTTTTTTTTTTTTTTTTTTTTTTTTTTTTCTCAATGAACAAGAGGCCGAAGCGCCAACGTTGGCGAGTCTCTTCTTCCTGGCGGATCAGCGAAGGAGAGAAGAAAACGGCCTTACAAAGAACCTAAGGCCGGATCCCCCAGGGCTGGGGCTCGGCCGCGGCGGGGTGGAGGTGAAC